CTGGCAATATTTGAGAGTTCTTGAGCAGATTGGAGAAGGGCAAATGTGGGTCTTCGATACCAGGCAAGATTCTAGAAAAGATTGTTAAGGAAGTGGTCTGCAAACAGAATCAGATGCAGTCATTGCTAATAGTCAACATGGATTTACCAAAAACAAGTCATGCCAGACCAATCTGATCTCTTTTTCCCCCGATAGAGTTACAAGCTGGGTAGATGCAGGGAATGCTGTGGATATAGCATATCTGGATTTCAGTAAGGCCTTCAACAAGGTTTACCATGACCTTCTGGTAAACAAATTAGTTAAATGTGGGCTAGGTAAAACTATGGTTAGATAGATCTGTAATTGGTTAAGCAAATGAACCCAGAGGGTGCTAACCAATGCTTCCTCTTCATTCTGAAAAGAAGTGAAAAGCGGAGTGCTGCAGGGTTCCTTCCTGGGCCCGGTCCTGTTCAACATCTTTATAAATGACTTAGATGAAGGCTTAGAAGGCATGATCCTCGAGTTTGCAGATGACGCCAAATTGGGAGGGATAGCTAATACCCCAGAAGACAGGAGCAGAATTCAAAACGATCTAAACAGATTAGAGAGATGGGCCAAAACTAACTGAATGAAATTCAACAGTGACAAATGCAAGATACTCCACTTAGGCAGAAAAAATGAAACGCAAAGATACAGAATGGGAGACACCTGGCTCAACAGCAGTACATGTGAAAAAGATCTTGGAGATCTCTTGGACAGCAGGTTAAACATAATAAAAATGAACTTCGGAACATGGAATGACTTCATGGAATGACTTCATCTTGTGGAAATCATCTATCGGACAGATGGCAAGCTGTTTAACCTCAGCAGACTGAAAGCCAAAACCAGGGTTACAACAACATTTGTTATAGAACTCCAGTATGCTGATGACAACGTCATCTGTGCGCATTCAGAAGAAGACCTACAAGCCACTCTAAACACCTTCGCAGAAGCATACGAGAAACTCGGCCTGTCACTGAACATCGAGAAAACCAAAGCACTCTTCCAGCAGTCACCAGCCAATCTCTCTCCAATGCCAGAGATACAGCTTAATGGTGTAACATTAGAAAATGTTGACCATTTCCGCTACCTTGGCAGCCACCTCTCCACCAAAGTCAACATCGACACCAAAAATACAACACCGCCTGAGCTCTGGGAGTGCAGCATTTTTCCTAATGAAGCAGAGTATGTTTGAGGACCGGGACATCCGTAGGGATACCAAGGTGCTTGTTTGTAAAGCTATTGTCCTCCCAACTCTGCTATATGCCTGCGAAACGTGGACTGTCTACCGATGTCACATGCAACTCCTAGAATGATTTCATCAGCGCTGCCTCCGGAAGATCCTGCAAATCTCTTGGTAAGACAAGCGGACAAATGTCAGCGTGCTGGAAGAAGCAAAGACCACCAGCACTGAAGCGATGGTCCTCCGCCATCAACTCTGCTGGACTGGCTACGTTGTCCGGATGCCCGACCAATGTCTCCCAAAGCAGTTGTTCTACTCCGAACTCAAGAATGGAAAACGGAATGTTGGTGGACAGGAAAAGAGATTTAAAGATGGGCTCAAAGCCATCAGTGACATGGAGATTCTTATAGAAAACATTATAATAAATCAATTCTGCAAATAATAAAACCCATAAAAGTGGAGGACCAACTGTATTTTGATATAGGCAGCATTTTTTTCAGTAGCTGACATAGTAGTTTCTTCCAAATTATTAAAAACATAGCATTTGTTCTTAAAATTACATTTTAATATGCTCCCCCCCCCCCCAATTGGAGGTGAAATACCCTTTTACTGACTGACTTAAATGCAAGACTTTAGGTCTTGTGAATCTTAAACTCATAAGAATTCCCTTTTAAACAACTATGTACAGAACAAAATAAAAATTAAACAAGTATTAATGTAAAACAAAAGAGAAGAAGAAAAAACAAACAATTTGTTTATTAAATTTATTATTTTATAACACAATTCCGTACCACCCTTTATCATTGGAGGTCTAGGCAGCGTGATGTAAACAATCTAAAACATCATGCCTAATTTAAACAAGATGAAGACATACTAAAAATATCAACAGCTAAACCACTTTAAAAATGACAACAGTTTAAAATCCCTGTATAGATATACTTTAAAATAAATTCGTCCCCAAAGGCTATAATAAAAAGCCCTGTTTTGGCTTGCCACCAGAAAGAGACCACCTTTGGTGTCAGTCAACTCTAAGGATCTCATTGGTATTGTCTTGGTAATGTATTTCTCCAAAATAATTCACATATTTTTATCTTCTCTTATTCCTCTTTCAACTTTATACAAGATTTACTGACTCCAACATAGTGTGGCTATGTTTTTGTAAGAGAGAAAAATAAGGATTGATCCCACAAATGTATTTCCATTTATATATTATCCCCATTTATAGCAAACAGTGCTAATCCAAGCCATTTGTGTGGGTTTTTCCTTTAAATTCCACAAAGCTGGATGGTTCCCAGTATAAATACTTTGAAAAACTACTTCCCACTGCTTCTAAAATCAAGCTAATCCTTTTACCCACTGTTCCCAGAATTCAGTAACTATTAGACATTCTTTGTATATGTTCCCTCTCTTCTGCAACTTTAGCAGGATTCAGTACTAAATAACTCTTACTAAGCTATTCCACTAAAAACTAACAGATTTTGTGTAGAATATATCAAACTATCTATATATATTTAAGAGTCAAAGTAGGTTTGTGTGTGTGTTTGTATTTGTATGCATGTAGGTTTGTTTAATTCCACAAAGGCCCTGTGGAATTACACATTCCACAGGGATGTACACATTCAATCATGATACACATTGAATGTATCATGATGCCAAAAATACTGATGGGTTTTCAACTGGTAAAGGATGACAGGTCTTGTAGTCCAGCCACATCCAGAGAGCTGCATTAATCCCACCCACAATTGATCTGAACCAAACTTGGAACAAATATATTTCATGATCCAACTTTAAATACTAGCAGGGTTAGGGGCACTTTGTAGATGATGATGGAAGTTGTATTCCAGCCACATTCAGAGAGCCGTGTTATTACTACCCACAACAGGAGGTGCAACTCTCCTTGTAACCTCTCCTTGGCAGGTTGAGGAAGATGGAAGTTGTGGCTCAACAAGACATCTGCGCCATTTGACCAGTTAGGAGGAGAGCTCTGAGTTGCAGTCTGGCAAAATCTGGGGCTGATGGGATTTGAAGCCCTGTCAGATCTGAGGCAGATGGGAGCTGTCGGTCATTAACTGTACAATTTTATAAAAGATCCCATGATATGGATATGCATTTTCTAATGGCACTATTGATAAAATCAGAAAACAAACAATGAGTATTTCTAATAAATAGCATTATAAAATGCCTATTCCAAGCAATACTAGGTATATATTCAAATTTTAAGACAGTTACGGAACGTGAACATTTACATTCATCTTCCCAATGAAGGTTACTCGGAAATTTGCTAGTATTAAAAATAATCGTCTTAAGTTACTAATAAAAATATAGAAATCAGATTTTTTTTGTCATAATACACTGCATATAGTAATATTATTTTTGATTGAGGAATATTAAATCACTTGCTTTCTTTTATTCTACTAATGGAAATATTCTATATAGAATCATAGAATCAAAGAGTTGGAAGAGACCTCATGGGCCATCCAGTCCAACCCCCTGCCAAGAAGCAGGAATATTGCATTCAAATCACCCCTGACAGATGGCAGCCAAGCACAGACTTATTTCTGTTGTGTACAAATAAATTCTAAAAGTACTTGAAATTATTGACATGTTAGTAATTAGTGTAGTGGACCATATTCTTGCATATATTTTTTTTACAAATGAAAATTTATTATTAAACTTCCTCAAATTTCCCCTAAAGTTCTGTTGGTTTGTAGGCCATACATATTTTGATTGTGACCCACAAGAGCCTACATAGGTCCCTATAAAACATAGGTTTTACTGGGAAACCTGCATTGAGTATACAACAAAGCACGTGTCATGTACATCATGACCTTCAGGAAACATCTGCTTGAATTGTTCTTACTTGACAACATATTTATAATTTCACATCAGATATACCTGAAAAAAATGTTTGCTAACATCTACTATCTTTGCTGCGTGTACTGGCCTGTAAATGTACCAAATGAACTTCAAAACTAATTACAACAATTAAGTTAAGAATAAAGGGCAGGTTTTTATGAAGTTCTGTGTCTGTTCTAGAAATACAGAATTGCACCTGCCTCAGTCATTAAGTATGTTTGTCACATCGGGCATTCATGTCAAATCTTGTATTCCTGACAAATGTATAGCTGAGAAATAATAATGACAGGGTTTTTGCTTATGATTATACATGAATATATAATGTATCGTTACCTGAAGAGCAATAGGATTTGTTTAAAAAGGTAACACATGCATGAAAAAATCTCAGACTCATATCAAGTGATCATTATGGCCTGGGAAATTAAAATATAGTTGTGCTGCAAGTATTGTCAAACTTTTTTTTTACCTCGCTGTTTTTAACAATGGTATAATCTGCCTTGAGAAGTAAGGAGAGATGGGTAATAAATTATTGTTGTTATTATTGATTACATTTTTCACACTTGTTTTTTCCCAACAAGCATTTCCACTAATTATTTTGATATAACATCATTTTTCTTGTGTAATGTTCAAATTTATAATACTATATTCTTTGTTTCTTTGCTAGAGCCAACATACATCACAATAGGTCCACCCACATGTTATCCTCTAATGAACTGCACATTAACTGAGATGGATTGTGTTTACGATTTCAGAGTAGACCAAAATGGTTGTCGCATCTGCCAGTGCAAAACAAGTAAGTATACATATGGCATTGAATTCCCAGTTTCAAAAAACATCAGTTGACCAAATCAGTTTCAAAATGTTAACAATATCATTTTGATTTTTCTTCAATATTGAATCACCTCATACACAAACTTACTCATTCTTGATTGTTCATCAGGTTTCAGTGGGACAATGCATTTCTGCCATTACCTATGTAATACAAACAGGTTATTAAAGAGTTTTTTTATCTTTTTATATGAGGCTTCCCAAGCCCAAAGATATGCGGCAGAGGCATTTCTCTCTATCACTTCATCTTCAGAGCTACTGTTGGTGGAAACACAGGAAAAAGCTTTTTTAGCTACTCTCACATTTTGGAACTCATTCCCTAGGGAACTTAGAATGTCTCCTTCTTTTTGTGATAGGTTAAGTGCTTCCTTTCCAGAAAGCTTTTGGAAACTGATTTTAACAAAAATTGCTTTTTTGTTGTTTTTAATTTTTTTAAGTAAGATTTTAATTTGTTTGAATTATATTATTATTATTAAATCTTGATTTTGTATGTTTCAATATGTATTTATTGTATAATATTTCTTTGCAAGATGCCTTGAATACTAGCTTGGGAGAAAGGTAGGACATAAAGTTTTGGATGGATGATGGAAATACATTGTATTTGTACTTAGAAGCATATTTGTGTCACATTTTAAGGTACTGCAGATATGGTTTCGTACCAGTACAACTTTATAAAGTATTGAGTCACTTAGACAGCCCTATCCATGGATAAAGAACATTTTCGTTGCCATCCTGGGCTGCTGATGCCAACATACTTCAAATGCTGTTGCATCACCCTGAATATGCCCCATCTCATCTGATTTTAGAAGCTGAGCAGGGTCAAACATGGTTAATACTTGGATAAAATGACACAAAGGAATGCCAAGAATCTCATGATTGAGCTAGGAAACAACTCTGTTTGAAAACTTGAAGTGCTGTTGCCAATTGAAGTTGACAGTACTAAGTTAGATGGACCCATGATCTGACTCAAAATAAAGCAGTTTGCAGTATTCCTCTGTTCAGTTAACTTGTCAGGGTTCATGAAGTCTCAAAAAATAAGTGAGAAATTGTATGTGACTACTTACTTAGTTACTGCTGCTCTTCATTGGGATGTTTCAAGGTCAAACTTTTTGAGATGTATCAGCATGAGGAAAGAATCATCTCCAGTTTAAACCCTACTTCCAACAGTCCAGAAAAAATATACTAAGCAATTAAAGTTATTTATTTTGTGAGAATGGAGGACTTGTATGCTGCTATCACATTTGGAGGAATACGTTATTGTAGTATTGCTGGCAAATTTATAGGAAAACTAATATAGATTGATTCCGTATCTAAACCATACACTTAGGATCAGTGGAATTCTTATCTTCACAGCTACCAATCCATTACAAAATCCATAACTCTATTCCCCATCATACTCTCTACTTTTTAGAAATTGAACTAACTCCTACATTTTAGGATTAAAACATTATGAAAGGAAGTAAACTGTTACTCTTTAAATAATAGATGGAGTTTCTTAAATAAATTTAGATGAAACTGAGCTTCGAACAAGGTGGCAGATAAGAACACTTTTTTAACAGTGAATGATGGTATTATCTTTTAAGTTGAGATCATGTAGTTTTCGGGTCACAAGTCCCTTTTGTCCAAAGTGCCATACGGAAAAGGCACCTCAAACAAGGAAACATTAGAGAAGCTGTGATGTTCTCAGTTAAAATGTGTGGCCGCTATTTGTTCTAACTTCCTAGTTAAGATTTCAGTCTTCCGGTTTCTGCAGGATACACATAGGTAGTTTTAAGCAAACTCCATCTATTATTTAAAGAGTAACAGTTTACTTCCTTCCATAATTCTAAAATGTAGGAGTTAGTTCAATATATTATGCCCTATATGTCTGCATCCACTCACATAAATAAGTTTGCAGATCCTGGTGGGGCTTTATGGAAAATACCTTTTCCAGCTTCAAATAATTTGCAGTCTTGAACTTGACACAAGTGAAACAGAAAAGATGTAGTGACAATAGAGTAGGCAAGACACCAAAATGTGATCACTGCTCTTGGTTGTGCTTTATTCCAGGCTTGATTATGTTAGAGGCAGTGCAAGTAATTTGTCAAAGGCTTTATGGAAAAAGTAGCCTTGAGAGTGGGTATGGATTAGAAAGATACAAGGTGGTGTGATTTGAGTTTATTCGCATAATGTGAGACCTTGAGAAAGTCATGCTTTCTCAGTTTCAAAGGTAGGTAGTGGCATGCACACACACCCTCTGAACGAATTACACCTGGAAAATCCCATGATAGATTTGGCATAGGTTACTGTGAGTCAGAAAATACTGCAGAATGGTCAAAGATTGTTACAATGGAATGTCAGATCACAGCAGTATATAGTACTAGCTGTACCCAGCCACGCATTGCTGTGGCCCATTGTGGAGAAATGGGAAAGAAGGAAAAGAGGAAGAGCTGGTTTCTATACTATCAATACACAACTGAAATGGCAAAGTGTCAACCTAATATAGGCCCGTTTCAGTCTCCTTGAGGCCAAAGGGTTATATGGACATAGATTGCTTTGGTAGGTGTCTTGTGTTCAAATTTGGTGTCAATTTGTCCAGTGGTTATTAAGTTCTGTTAATCCCACAAACGAACATTACATTGTATTGTCGAAGGCTTTCATGGCCGGAATCACTCAGTTCTTGTGGGTTTTTTCGGGCTATATGGCCATGTTCTAGAGGCATTTCTCCTGACGTTTCGCCTGCATCTATGGCAAGCATCCTCAGAGGTGAGGTCTGCTGGAGCTGGGAAAAAGGGTTTATATATCTGTGGAATGACCAGGGTGAGACAAAGGGCTTTTGTAAGTTGGGCTAGGTGTGAATCTTTCAACTGACCACCTTGATTAGCATACAATGGGCTGACTGTGCCTGGAGCAAACTCTTCTTGAAATGTGATTAGATGTCCCTGCCTGTTTTTCTCTCTGCTGTTTTTGCTGTTGCAATTTTAGAATTTTTTTAATACTGGTAGCCAGATTTTGTTCATTTTCATGGTTTCTTCCTTTCTGTTGAAATTGTCCACATGCTTGTGGATTTCAATGGCTTCTCTGTGTAGTCTGACATGGTGGTTGTGAGAGTGGTCCAGCATTTCTGTGTTCTCAAATAATATGCTGTGTCCAGGTTGGTTCATCAGGTGCTCTGCTATGGCTGACTTCTCTAGTTGAAGTAGTCTGCAGTGCCTTTCATGTTCCTTGATTTGTGTTTGGGCGCTGCGTTTGGTGGTCCCTATGTAGACTTGTCCACAGCTGCATGGTATACGGTAGACTCCTGCAGAGGTGAGAGGATCCCTCTTGTCCTTTGCTGAACGTAGCATTTGTTGGATTTTCCTGGTGGGTTTGTAGATTGTTTGTATGTTGTGTTTCCTCATCAGCTTCCCTATGCGATCAGTGGTTCCCTTAATGTATGGCAGGAACACTTTTCCTCTGGGTGGATCTTCATCTTTACTCTCATGGCTTGTTCTTGGTCTTGCAGCTCTTCTGATGTCTGAGGTGGAGTATCCATTGGCCTGGAGAGCCCAGTTTAGGTGGTTCAGTTCATCTTGGAGGAGGTGGGGTTCGCAGATTCTTTTTGCACGGTCTGCCAAGGCTTTAATGGTGCTTCTTTTTTGACTTGGGTGATGGTTGGAGTTTTTATGTAGATATCTATCTGTGTGTGTGGGTTTTCTGTAAACGGTGTGATCCAATTGTTGATCTGGTTTGCGGATGACTAGGACATCTAGAAAAGGCAGTCTTCCTTCCTTTTCTTTTTCCATAGTGAACTGGATGTTTGGGTGGATGCTGTTAAGATGTTCCAGGAACCTGTTGAGTTCTTCTTCTCCATGGCTCCAAATGGTGAAAGTGTCATCCACATATCTGAACCATATAGTGGGCTTTTTGGTTGCTGTTTCAAGAGCTTGTTTTTCAAAGTGTTCCATGTAGAAATTAGCTATGACTGGGCTGAGAGGGCTCCCCATAGCTACTCCATCTTTCTGTTCGTAGAATTCATTGTCCCACTGAAAGTAGCTGGTGGTGAGGCAATGGTGAAACAGAGCCGTGATGTCTTCTGGGAACCTCTGGTTGATGAGTGCCATGGTGTCTGCAACTGGGACCATGGTAAATAGAGACACCACATCGAAGCTGATCAGTTTGTCATTTGTATTTAGCTTGAGATTGCTGATTTTTTCAATGAAGTGGGCTGAGTCCTTGATGTAGTGTGTTGTGAGCCCAATGTGGCTTTGTAACTGTGCAGCAAGAAATTTGGCTAAGTCATATGTGGGGGACCCAATGGCACTCACGATTGGTCTGAGTGGGGTGGAGTCCTTATGGATTTTGGGGAGTCCATAAAGCCTGGGTGGAAGGGCTTCCGATTTACATAGCTGCTGTCGTATGTCGAAGTTGATTGAGGAGTTTTTAATTAGAGTGTTGGTTTTTCTGGTTATTTTGGAAGTTGGGTCTTGCTTAAGTTTTCTGTATATAGTAGGGTCCAGGAGATCCAACCAGTCCATCCTCCAGGAAATAAAGCCCGACTGCTCACTGGAGGGAAAGATACTAGAGACAAAGTTGAAGTACTTTGGCCACATCATGAGGAGACAGGAAAGCCTAGAGAAGACAATTATGCTGGGGAAAGTGGAAGGCAAAAGGAAGAGGGGCCGACCAAGGGCGAGATGGATGGATGGCATCCTTGAAGTGACTGGACTGACCTTGAAGGAGCTGGGGGTGGTGACGGCCGACAGGGAGCTCTGGCGTGGGCTGGTCCATGAGGTCACGAAGAGTCGGAGACGACTGAACGAATGAACAACAACAGGAGTTTTCTGATCTTCTCCTTGTATTGCTCTGTATGCATGATGACTGTGGCATTCCCCTTGTCTGCTGGCAGAATGAGGATATCAGGATCTGAATTTAGGTCTCTAATGGCTTCTCTTTCCTTCCTAGTAATGTTACTGGAGGGGAGTTTTGCCTTTTTCAGGATCCTTGCTGTTTCCGCTCGTACTTCTTCTGCTTCTTCCTCTGGGAGGCGATAAATTGCTGATTCAACATTGGCAATGATGTTTTCTACTGGGATCCTGGTGGCGGTTACAGCAAAGTTTCCTCCTTTCGCTAGTATGGATACTTGGTCTTCAGAGAGTTGTCTGTCTGTCAGGTTGATGATGGTCCGTGATGTATCCAGTTCTGGTTTCGGCTGTTGCTTTTGTCGTTTGTGGAATTTTTGTTTTTGTCTGTTGGTGTGGACAACCATGTTTTTCTCCATTTTCCTGTAAGTGAGATTGTCTATTTTGTCCCAGTCCTGGGAATTCATCTTCTGGCTGATATTGATATGGAGATGCAGCAGTTCCTTGTCTGTGTTTGCGAGTTCTTTGCGGATGGTGTGGATTCTCTCTCTTAAGAGGTTGCGTTCCAGGCGGTCATAGATCCGGTGAGCCTGTGGTGTTTTGAAAGTCCTTTTGGCTGCGAGGAATTGTGGGATGGTATCTGTGTCTCTGCAGCGTAGAAGGAAAGTCAGGGAGCACAGTAGATGTGCTTTCCTGGTCCTTAGTTTCTCCAATTTCGTGTGTCTTGGAACAGTTTCTCCCCGTAGAGATGTTCAATGTATTGTCGAAGGCTTTCATGGCCGGAATCACTCAGTTCTTGTGAGACACAGATACCATCCCACAATTCATCCAGTACACCATGGAAAAAGAAAATGAAGGAAGACTGCCTTTTCTAGATGTCCTAGTCATCCGCAAACCAGATCAACAATTGGGTCACACCGTTTACAGAAAACCCACACACAGATAGATATCTACATAAAAACTCCAACCATCACCCAAGTCAAAAAAGAAGCACCATTAAAGCCTTGGCAGACCGTGCAAAAAGAATCTGTGAACCCCACCTCCTCCAAGATGAACTGAACCACCTCAACTGGGCTCTCCAGGCCAATGGATACTCCACCTCAGACATCAGAAAAGCTGCAAGACCAAGAACAAGCCACGAGAGTAAAGATGAAGATCCACCCAGAGGAAAAGTGTTCCTGCCATACATCAAGGGAACCACTGCTCGCATAGGGAAGCTGATGAGGAAACACAACATACAAACAATCTACAAACCCACCAAGAAAATCCAACAAATGCTACGTTCAGCAAAGGACAAAAGGGATCCTCTCACATCTGCAGGAGTCTACCGTATACCATGCAGCTGTGGACAAGTCTACATAGGGACCACCAAACGCAGCGCCCAAACAAGAATCCAGAACATGAAAGGCACTGCAGACTACTTCAACCAGAGAAGTCAGCCATAGCAGAGCACCTGTTGAACCAGCCTGGACACAGCATATTATTTGAGAACACAGAAATGCTGGACCACTCCACAACCACCATGTCAGACTACACAGAGAAGCCATTGAAATCCACAAACATGTGGACAATTTCAACAGAAAGGAAGAAACCATGAAAATGAACAAAATCTGGCTACCAGTATTAAAAAATTCTAAAATTGCAACAGCAAAACAGCAGAGAGAAAAACAGGCAGGGACATCTAATCACCTTTCAAGAAGAGTTTGCTCCAGGCACAGTCAGCCCATTGTATGCTAATCAAGGTGGTCAGTTGAAAAGATTCACACCTAGCCCAACTTACAAAAGCCTTTTGTCTCACCCTGGTCATTCCACAGATATATAAACCCCCTTTTTCCCCAGCTCCAGCAGACCTCTGAGGAAGCTTGCCATAGATGCAGGCGAAACGTCAGGAGAAATGCCTCTAGAACATGGCCATATAGCCCGAAAAAACCCACAAGAACTGAACATTACATTTTTATTTATATAGATAAATTCAGTGATTGCTTCTTCCTTGTATATGGTCCTTGAGAAAGGCTACATTTTAAACAGAGAAGCTACAAGCAGTGAGGGAGTCAACCATTCTATCAAATCCTTTTGCCCACATGCTCTGCTTTATAATATCACATGCAGAGATTCAAAACATTGGTCTTTAAAACCTCCCTATTAAAGCACACTCCACACATGCCAGGGGTTCAAGCAGTATCCAAGCTTTGGGAGTCTGAAATTGGGTTGACCCCATTAGGATCCAAGGATCCTCAGCCTGGACAGCAGAACTGTTAGCATCAACACTCTGTAATGTACATGTATTATCACTTTAAGCTACCCTAGAAACGTTAGTCCAAAAATCAGTCTGAAAACCAGAGTCATTGTTCAGTGTAACCTTAACTCTTATTAAATACCCATCTTCTTCTCTAAGTGGAATGGTGAAAAATGAGAGCTTAGTTAATTGTGGGGGAAGTCCCAACCCCTCTACTTCTCAACTATAGCACCCATCTGGCCTTTTTGAATGCCTATGCAAAGAAATTGTGAAGGTAGTCAGGGGCAGTTAGCCCCCTGAGTTGGCATTGGTGTTTTCTCCTCTATTCTCAATAACTCCTAGCTTATCCATGTTCATATCAAAACCCATAATTTGGCCCCAAAACCCGTCTTTGACTTATAAGTGAAGTTATATTCATGAATTATACATGAATGTGTGTGGTGGCTTATTTCACTATCTGTGTACATCTATGCCTTGTGAAATTGGTGGAACTAACTGGAAAATCTGTTCAGTAACATGCCAATTCATACAGGAAAGTCTAGGACTTTGAAAACGTTAATTATCAGAAGCAGCAAATCTCAGAGTTTCTAAATACACAGCCAGAAGGAATGGTTGCAAGGTATGCCAGGGAGACAAAGGGGATAGTTGGACCTAAAGCTGAAGATTATGGAAACACAGAAGCATGTAGGTGAATGAGTTAGACTAGGTCAGGAGTAAAAAAAAAGAAAAAAGAAAAAACAAGAACTAATTGGATTCCAGGGATCTGGAGCTGTTTTTAAAGGTCTTTTTCTCTGTCATATCATGCACAATTAATGTACGACTATAAATACAAATGAGTTGGCCAAAAGTACAAGCTTATCCAAATGGAACAAGAAAAGCTAAAGGATGGCAGTCTTTTATTCAGTTTTTTAAAATAAATAACGTTTCATTATCATTCAAAGTTCAGACTTCCTGTTAAATGATTCAGAATTGAATAACATAAAATGGTATACTAGTTCAAAATAAATAGGAAGCAAAATTATAAGTGCACTGTTACATTGTTTTGAGATTTTAATGTGTGCATGTAAATGCATAATTAAGCAAATTGGAGTATATGGGCAAAATCCACACTATGTAACATCTCTAATGCCAAGGTAGTCTTCATGGTTATGTATATTTCTTTCTGAGATGAGTGTTATTAGTCTTTGCTAAACTCCATGTGTTTTTTTACAGGAGAGGAAATGTGTAATGATCTCATGTCAGGTTGTTCTTTGGATTGTGCCTTCGGTTTCCAGACTGATGCCCACGATTGTAAGATCTGCCAGTGCCGCCCACGACCAAAGAAATGTAAACCAATAGCATGTGACAAGGACTGTCCATATGGATACTTGTACGTATGCTTACATTATATTCATGGATAGAAAATAAGATGTTTTAAGTGAACAAGTATATTTTTGAATGAAGAAGCTGTAAAATAGCAGTAGAATTTCCTTTTGATTATACACACCAAAAACTGCAGTCCTACCTTCCACCTATTTGGTCAACCAAAATGGATTGACCATACATTCTGTGTATGGATTCTTCCAGTTTCTTTTTTTTTTTAAGTCCACTAAATATTTTTAAGAAAGTACCTATTAATGTTCATTTTTAATATTGTTTTATCTTTAGTGAAATGCACTTTGTCATATTCACTATTAACTTTCTCAGTCCTTTGGTATATTACATTAAAGGAAAAAATTCAAAAAAAAACAGATAATTTAAAAAATGAACTGATGTACTGTTTTACAAGACTTCAATATTTATATGGCTTCCTTCCAGCTTTATTGGATAGTAGATCTCTTTACATTTTTCTAGTTAGAAAGATAAGAGTAATCTCTATGCTTTCTTTTAAGTTTACAGTAGTTTTAGTTAATAAAAACAGAATTTCAGAATGTTTTAGATGTGATCCCAGTACCTCATGCCTAACAATATGCCAGCTCAATTCTTAGCTATTTTATGTTTTGTTATTATTTATACATCTCAACTAAACTCGGAGTCAGAAATAAATATTAAAGCTAGTAAAAGCTACAATACCAAAAAAAAAAAAAAAGTTGAAAGGACGTGTTTAGTCCTTCCTACTCCAATGAGTCAGGGGACTGTTTTCAGCACTTTGATATATTCTTCTGGAATCTTCTCTTCACCTTGTCATATTTAACACACCATGAATGTTCTGGGAGTTGTCTAAGTGTTGTTGCCAATATATAAATTATGTTTTAAGAGATTTCTCCTTTCCCTATCTGTCCCAAGAGACTATTGAAGTATACGACAATGGTCTTTGTTGTAGTAGCATTAAGGATGTGCTTAACACAGCTGTGTACAAAGATGTAGGCAACAGACAGCTTCTCACCTTTCTCCCAGTTTGAGAATAGTAAATAAGCCTGTTTGGCACTACTTACCTAAA